ATTATTGCATTTTATTAAAAGCCTATACAAAAATTCACAGATAATTGTGAGAGTAGGTGATCGAATATTACCTATGATACCATACAAATGTGGCCTACTACAAGAATTCCCACTCTTATCAAGGTTGTTTGGTATGTATATCAGTGATATTTTCAATGGTATAGATAAAGTATATGTACCTGGCATGGGTGAATGTATACCAGGCCTACTTTTTTTATTTAATGCAGTAGTACTAGCTGGGCTATCTAAAAATCTAAAAATAACATTAGAACTATAAAAAAAATAGTCTAAACTTATTAAATATCTATAATTAACAGCAAGTGCAATCTAATGAAATATTTAAATTTAAAATTTAAAACTATCAAATAAAAAAAAACTATCATAATAGTTAAATAATATACCTATCTGAGACTAATTTTTACAGATACCTGAAAATTTGGCGCAAAAATAAATAATAAAAAAGCAATCTAGCACAAATAAAATTTGTTAAATAACCAACATATATTAGTTAAAACATGGTTTGAAGTTTTGCAGTCGGTACTAATATCAATTTGTACATGTAATAATAAGCTATTTGGAATAAAAATAATTCAAACAAAGCCCATTTAAATGACGACTGAAAAAATATTATTTCATGCTCCTATTAGATTCAGCCTTAAATTTATTATTTATAAAATATTATTCCCCATAGTTATTTAACATTATCTCTTTTCTAAAATATCATTAAATGGCTTCAGCTTAGCCATATTATCAAATTATAAGCTGATTAATGTGAATAATAAAACATATAAAGTGATTAGCTACCCCCCTCTTAGTCTTGAATGCAGATCCTGATATATTATGACTAATATCTAGATCAAACAAAACTATCCAATAAACATACTTACAAACGAGTTTAAAGTACCATAATACACTCAGCATGCTCTAATGCCAGAAAGCAAGTATATTTCAAGTGGTCTCCCTCAAAAAAAATGGAAAGTCAATCTAATACGACAAATATTCAAGGCTAGATCAAACACATAAGTATCCGGTACACTGAGATGGTAGAAAATATACAGCCATATTACTAAACAGGGTCTAGAGATACAACCATTGAAGCAAAAAATGTCAGAAATGTCATATCATAATATCAAACTGGCTGATAACACATCAAATTCAAAACTCGAGAAACTGAGCCAGCTTACAGCTGCTGTATTTAGAGCTTATAATGCAGTTAAGTATTATTAGAGAAATATTATCATAAGTTATTTTTCTACAGAGTAACTAGCAAAGTCATAAACTATATTAAAAATATACAGGGATAAGTGCCCATGCTGCAATGTCAATGTTCCTGAAACTATTGAACATGTATCAATAAATTTTAGCTACTAGGTAGTCATACGGAGTAAAAAATTGGGCTATTCATCCCAAGGCTGCACAAAATATGTAAAAGCGTTAAAATAGTCGATCACACAAGCTAAAATAGATTTGATGAGCAAATTCCTTCGGGGTGTCTAAAAAATCTTTGATTTAACTTGGAAAGAAAAAAATTATATTTTACTACCATTGATGGGGCTGGAAATAAAAAGTTATAAATGGAATTATCGTCAATAGGACATTTATTTTTGATATAATAAAGTACTTGACAATATTTGTGAATAAATATTATATGGGTATAGAATTACTAGAGAAACGTAGAAAATTTGGCTGAGTTGAGTTAAAAATAGGCATTAAAATAAAAAAAACTTGTATTTTCAAAAATTTTTAGAATTTCCCAACATTTTTTAAAGCTTGCTAAAAATACATCTATGTTATATTTGTAATTGTAACAGATTTTTTAAATCTTATACTATAATCATGTATTTATTTTATAATAAACATAACTTTTTGTAAAGAAAAGGGGGATTTGATATATAATTTTTAATAATTTTTAAAAATTTTTAAAAATTTTATTTTATTATTATAATAATATTAATGATTATAAAGTTATATAAAAGCAAATATTAAGTTTATATTAATAAATAAAACTATAAAACTGATTTTTTTAACACATCAGGGTATTCGTGCTGGTGCGGCTTTGATTTGTAAAGATTTCTTTGTCTATTACTCTGTTAAAAATAATAGCGTTTATGGTTACGATTTTTATATAAATTGTGTTATACATAATACTGTTTTGACAGCAGAGGTGCTTATCTGTAAAAAAAATACCAATAATATCAATAACTGACTCTTCTACAAAATGAGTGTCAAGTAGCCGTGTACAATTTGAACTTGCTACTAAAATACAGTTGAACTTCAGAAGATAGTTGGTGTTTTGTGTTATAATAGGTTGCCGCTTGTCACCGCTCCTACTGTTGCTGCTATTATATTTTGCAATCTCTTTAAAATAGCGTGCCCATATTTGGGTTTTTTTTATCTAAATCAGTTTCTATATTACCATAAGAGTTGAGTACTAGGCCGCGGATACTAATATTTTTAGCCGCATTGCCTAAAGTTAAAGCTAAGCTCATAGTTTGTTTAGTTTTTTGCTTGTGTAAAAGTTACAAGCTAATTACAAGTCTTTATTATGATATACCTTGTAGTCTATACTCCTTGAGTTTTGTGTTGCATTTTTTAAATTATAGCACTAATGCTGTAAACCTATTTCATTTTGAAACTTTTTGAATAATATTTGGAGTTTTTTTGTCAGAATTTTTGTTTTGTTAGAAAACCCGAGTTAAACTTTTACTTGATAATTTATAGATTATTTTGCCGCGTAGTTTCCCATGTTTCAGCACAAGTATTTTCTGAGAATGGATCCAAGTCAATATTCATATCAGTCAGAAATGTGTAGCGACTGTTACTCACAAACTATCAGAAAGCTTCTTTTAGTTTTTTTATATTGGTTTTTTTTGTTTAGGCGGGGCTAGACCAAGCTACTATTTAGCCATCACCGGAAAATTGTCTGAAAAGTCAACAGATCTCAGAACTTTTGAGTATAGTGGTTAGTGTGCTATTCCGCTGTACATGATATGATCAATAAAATTGATAATATTACCTATGACAACTCGAAAGCCATAGCAGTTCAGCGTTTTAGTCATTTGAAGCCCGGTTCCTATCTTTGCTGAGTATTTGTCAGAAACTTTGGCCTTGGTATCGAAATCACCCATAATTATCATTGTGTGCTTAATTTTGTAGTTACGAGTAAATTTTTTAATTATTTTAGTAACTGATTTTGATTTTTTTGCAGTAACTTGATTACCACAAGTTTTGATGATATTCAGTATATATATTGTAGTACTCTGAAATTGACAAGTCAGAGCTGTTGCGAGCTGCTGTTAGTATACCGCGCATGGCATGTTTGAATTTGTGTTTAGACCTCAAGCATGTGTGGACTTGGAGACAGAACCTTGCTCGATATTCAGCCAGATAATTTCTTTCAGGAGTAGTATACAGCTAGTTGATAACTATTTAGCATATTATTTAGCTGTTTTTTAACACTCTTGATACTTTTGAGATTGAATGTTATACACTTGAACTCTCAGTATTTAATGGATTTT